TGCCAGGAGAAAATCTACTCCTCACACTCTGCCACTGCACAGAACTGCATTGCATTTTCCAGGTATCATTGTTTTTGTTTGTTTGTTTTTTCTGTATCAGTAACTATCCAATACCATACCCCCACTCCAGAGATCTTAATTTAAATTCTAAGCAAAGAAAAACCAAAAAAACCCAAAAAACAAAAACCCTACAGTAAAGTTTTGAGTAGTTAAGCTCAAAGTTATAAGAATGTGTGCCCAGAGGAAATGGTTTCTATTTTGTACATTTTTTTCCTGAAAAGGTAATAAAAAATGGTAATTAACCAAATAGAGATGCTGTCCTAAATGTACATGGTTCTTTACAAATAGTAGAGTGTGACTACCTGTCTTATTATTTGCTTCACAAAATACTGAGAGGAGTAACATCTTAATAAGTATATAACATTTGCAATAAAAAATTATTTAATACTCATTTCTCTATATATTATTTGAAATCTTGTTTTATTTGACACTGCTGGGCCCCGGGTATGCAGGAAAAAAAACCTCATTGTTAAGAGACACGAAAGATCCACGCACACGTGACGTGCACAAATGGCTGGAACATAAAGAACTGACCCTGGTCTTTATCAGATTAAACAAAACAAAACAAAGTCTTTGCTTGTCATGAGGTATGGATAATTATATTATGGACTCTCCAAATTTGGAGATGGTTGGTACTTTGATCTGAGAACAATAAAGCATGTCATGAATTCAAAAATTGTCATCATATCAAATAGGTTCACTAGGTAAAACAGAGAAAAGAGAGTTTATTACAGAGGAAGCATCGAATTTTTTGAGGTCATTGGTTAAGGTGATGATTATACTGAACCTGGTATTAAAATTGTACTATGAATAAGGTTTATAATCATTTTTCTAAAAATAAATATTTAAAATGGAAGTGACAAGTTTGAAATATACATTCAAAGTCCATACATTCAAGTGTACTTTTAGATGCTCCCATTAGTTCAAAGAGAAATAACAATATCAAAGGAGAAAATGAGATAATATCATACACTACTTAAAGCCTCAATACTGATGAGGATTACACAGCCCCAACACTGTTGATCTGAAATTGTTGAAAATTTTAATCCTAAAGCAAATAGCAAGAAATAGCACTTAAGAAACTTAGATTTGTAGCTTAGTTCCCCAGATGTTTTGTCATCTTCTTCTTTTTTTTTTTTTTCCAACAGAAAACTGACCTTATGCATTAAAAGGAAGAATGAGAGGTTGCAAAAAATCATTCTTGGTCTGGTATTTGCTTAAGAATGTTTAGTAATGTTGCAGAGAAATAAGTTTTAAGATTTTGGAAGATTAGTTTCCCTCAAGTATCTGACTATGTAAGTTTTTTCAGAAAATCATTACAGAATTTTACAAAACTAAAAGATTGGCTCAGGAAATTTTGATTAACACAATGCTCCCTAATGGCTTTTTTAGTTTCAGAGGATAGCACAAGCCTCTATTATGAGTGTTTAAAAACAAATTTCTTGAGAATAGCCTAATGATTCTGCAATACTAATTACTGCTAACTATCAGCATTCAGAAACACATCATTTTCCTACATTCTTTAACAATATAGACAACCTTGTTCAGAAAGATTTTTCAAAAAACAATGAATAAAAATCTTCTTCAGGAAGTATAGGGGGGCTTTTTTCCCTTCGTTACATAAGTCAGTACTTTCAGAATAGCACTTGGCTTATGAGCATTGGAAAACCTACATGATTGGTCAGTATGTTTTAAATGCACAAATCCAGAGAATAAAAAGCTAGAGGAAACCTGGAAATACTCTTGCTCTTCCAAAAGTCAACACAATCAGAATCCATGGCACTGAGTGCTACAAGAGCGTAAGCATGTGAGACACTGATGAGTCTGAAAAGCCTACTGTAGGAGAAATAACCAAACTTAGAAAAAACAGTAAAGTCGGCCTTTTTTTTTTTTTTTTTTAGCAAGAGCTTCACTGTATGGAGTGGGGAAAAAAAAATACAGTCTAAGAATTCTATGATCAACCAAATGTCATTCATGTTTTCAATCAACAATTTTAAATCATAAAGGCTCAGTGTACATACTTTTGTATTCAGAAATGCAGAAAGATACACTTGGAGGACGTCAAATCAATTCCTAAGTCTACCTGGAATTCATTCTACAGATGGAGATATACAGTTACATACACACAAACACATATTTTATCTATTTATTCATATACATACAATTTTCCCTTAGAAAAGAATTAATTTTAAACTAATGGTGAATTAGCCATCTTTATTGCCTTCAATAAATAAAATTTTATTATGGTCATGCAAAATTTTAATTACTAAAAAACCACAAGACTCCAGTGATATACACTTGATATTGTCATAGTGATGCCTTACCTAAGGCATAAAAATCAGAGTTGTGTTTTAACCAATCTACTGCTCTGAAATTTTATGATAATCTATCAAAGATTGAAGGTGAAGGCTCTAAGGATACTATGTATGAATAAAGCACATAGTTACAGACAAAACAAAAACTATGTAAATATAAATACATATACATAAACATATATATCCTGAAAATATACAGGTCAAACAAGGTGCGTCCTTGTGGATTCCCATTTGGACTGATGGCCTTCTAGTCAGTTCATCTTTGCATATAAAGGGAATGAACTTTTATCATTTTAGCCTGGTGGCATAAGACAAGGAATAGCCTTTTGGATGGTTTGTATGTTAAAGTAACTCCTTAAAATATTTAATGTTTCAAAAACAGGATCTAAATATTGAATCAAGACATCATCATGAAGCTAACAGAAAGAAATACTACCAAGTGTTTTATGAAAGACCTATGTTGCAAGAGTAAATAAAGCAAAGATAGAAAACATAAATAACAAATAATGGGTGTGCATTTTACAAGAACTGGACTCCAACCAGAGGATCTGTGTTCACGGAAAGGCCTGGTTTGACACTTTGGCAAATCTTTGGGAGAATCACTAAATAAATAATTAAAATAAAATCTTAAATAATATGCATATAGCTTTTAATGATTTCCCACTCTAACCAAATAGGTGGACTGTAAGAATACTTCTTCCAAAAATGATGAGAAATGGAGCATGTAAAATTTTAGGTTCATTTCAATTTTCTCTCTTGAATTAATATGTATTATACCTATTTTTTTAATTTAAATTTTTGAACTTAAAAATGGCTACATAGGCTATCAAGTACAAAGAGTATCATTTCATAACAGTATGCTTCATTCAAACTGTTTTTCAAATCATCCTGATTTGTAGTATTTCCCAATTTCCATGGTGTAAATACAGAGGAGGGTTTCTTTCTTCAAGTATCTTTGCAAAACCATAACACAAACAGTTGCTGCAATTTTTTGTCTTAAAATAAAAATAGTATATGCATTTCCTTCTGGAGTATGCTGTATGAAAATGATCATATCACTCCCATTCTTAAAAATGGTCTCTATTTTAAAAAAATGTCTCAATTTCTATAGCTGAAGTAGACTGCAACACCTAAGGATTAGCATTAGGAGTGATAGGATTATAGTCATAGAAACTCCATACAGACTCAGTGTTCTGTTCATAATTGTTATATCTTGGTTCATTGTCTTTATCTTCTTTTAGATATCTGGTTAATTCTCCTACATTTCCCTGTTTTATGCATGACATTAGAATATTTTTAATAATATGCTTTCGGTTATATATTAGGTAATGTCCTGGTAAACTGGCATTCTGAAAACCAACAAGGAAATAAACAAACAAAATAGGCCTAATTTATCACATTTATCTATTTCCACTTTGTAAAAACTCCCACCATGACCAATTCAAGCCATCAAAGTGACACCATTCAATGTGAAGTTGGGAAGAGCCTATCTTAGTGAGTTGGTACAAGTGGGCTCCAGTAGAATGCTGTGATGAATCAATAATGCCTCAAGTTTATTTATTCCAATAGGCTATCAAAATATACAGGGACTTTTTTGGTAGGTTTCAATACATTTAAGAAAATGACAGTGAATAATTTTAGCATAATTAAAATGTTAAGCAATGGGCAGCATTTTATAAAACTATGAAATGACAGAAAAACACCTTCCAACTAAGTATTTTAAATAAAATAAAATGATAGGTTGAGGCTATTTTATGATAAAAAATATTCATCATAAGCAATATCATTGAAAACTTGTAAACTATATGTTAGAGTTTGGAAAATGCGAATGACATTTAATTAACAAGTGAAAATAATCATTATGCATTTTGAGAATCAAGCATCTTATAACATTTGAAAGAAAGTGATAAAATATATTTTTATGGCCCTTTAGGTACATCTCTAAAGTCCATTATTTTAAAATGCTTTTGATGTAATAAGGTATATAGTATCTAGAAGTAGACAGTAACCTAGCACAGGAGTTGGCAAATTTTTTTCTGTAAAGAACCACAGAGTACATATTTTAGTCTTTATAGACTAGTTAGTCTCTGTCATGAATACAGTTCTGTTATTGTAGTGGGAAAATACCCATGTTCAACCTGTAAATCGATGATCCTCACTGTGTTCCAATAAAACATTGTTTACAGAAACAAGCAGCAGATAGATTTGGCCTGTGGGCTGTTCATGGTTTGCTGACCTGACTTTAGTGTGTACTGAATCATCTGGTATTTTACAGTTCTGATTTCAATATAATTTTTTTTAGTATTTATAAAAAATTAATCCCAATGATGAAAGTTTTTTTTTAATAATATTGCCCAAGTCAGTAAACAATATTGACTAATTAGTGTTTCTTAAACAACATAATCCCATAGCAAACCAACAGCCAAAAGGACAATGCAATTGAAAATAAAATGAATATAATTGTGAACACATTTTCTTTTATATTACTATACCAAAATTTCATAATCAACTATAAGGAGAGAGGTTTACCTAGACAGTAAATAAAGAGGAAACCTGCATATGAAATTAAACTATATTTAATAGGAGTACATTCATTTTAATTTACTATGAAATCCTTATTCTTACCTTCTATAAGTTTCCCTGTCTGTTCTGCATTTCCTCCAGGAAGAATTTTGGCAATATAGGCTCCAATTTCTCCATTATGTCCAGGGATTTCTTTACCACCCACAATTCTAATTCCTAATCCATTACCTGTATTGGAAAATTAGCAAATTATTAGTCATAATTTAAAGGGACAACAGTCATCAGAAGTTATAAGGTGCACCAAGAGTTGGCTCTGGTAAAAAAAAAAAAAAAAAAAAAAGTGGGCTCTGGTGTCCAGAAGCAATCTACAACATGAATGCTGGGACTGGACACTAATAACAGAAGGATATTATTCTGAATTCAGTAATAGTTGATATGAAATAGCACATTTTGAGATTTTGGTAAACTCTATGATGAATCACCTGATACTAAAAAATAATTCTTTGATTCAGCCATATCACCAAGCTATGATACAAATATCTTTGTCCATTTTTGACCAGATACTTTATAAAAATATTGTATGAAGATGTTCCCACTATAAGAAATTCCAGAGCCTATAGTTCACTTATGAAATTGAGGAGCATTTCACTTAAAAAGGCAGTAATGGCTATCGTAAGTTGAGAAGACACAATCCAAGCATGTGATTGCAAATGATAAAATGAAAACACGATCAAAACTTGTGAATTACGATACACTTTTTAGCCTTAACTGATCAACTAACATTGTCTGTGCATTTGCGTGGCACCTACTGTGAAGCCCAATAAAATTATTCTTGACTGATGAACAACTTAGTAAACTTTTTTATTTCATAGAACAGATTTTTCTGTAAATAACCACATGCAGAAAAAGATGGAAAATGATTATTATGTGAAAACTAACTGAGATAGAAATGAACTGTTGATGTTTTAAGTTTATATTTTTTTAATCAGCTAAAAATTAGCAAATATATATAAATATAAATATATAGCACCAGATATATATATTTTTACCAATGCCAAGGATATTTAAAAATAAAAGTACTTTAAAAAAGCAGAATTCTTCTTCTTAAATGAAGATAGTTATTTCTTTAAATTAAGATGGTTTCCATTCACTGATTGAAGTACCATTTTCAACTCTTTCAAAATCTCTGAATTTTAAGAGTCAGCTCTCTTGTAGATTCTGTTCCCTTCCCATTTTACTCTTCAAAAACAATCCCTGTAGTCAGCATCAACACAGTACAAACATTCAATAACCAGTAACACCGGATTATGAAATCCTTCTGTCATCTACCTTGTATATTTTGGTACAATGGAAAAACATCATTCTCAGGTTATATGACGGTTCCAAAGGAATTTCCTCTCTCCTTTTCTTCATCCCTTCCTTCCTTGTATTTACCCTCTTTTCTCTCTCTCCTTCCCTACTATTTGCCTCCCTCTTTCTACTTTTTTACCACGGTAAGTGGTAAGGAAATGTCATAAATCATCTTTTGGGATCTGAGACTGACCACATCTGAAGATTTACCTCAAAACAAAAATGAAACAAAAAGAAATTAATTGTACGTGTCTAAGTTTCCTGCTGTTGTCAAGGGGACAGAGTTAAATAAGATACTGGCTTTCTCTGGCCCCACTTGTGGAGTTTTTCTGTCACCAGTTTCTTGGTCCATTGCTTCCACTATGAGTAGAGATTAATTTATGATACACATTGAATATAACTGGGTGAATACAGAACATCATCTAGTACATGACCTGGTTTCAACTAAGTCTGCGTAGAAACAGTTGATTTCTTAGACAGTAGGCTTTAGGGATTCACCAGGATTGATCCTACAGTAAGACATTAGACAGATACAAATAAAGGGTAGAAGATGCAGAAAAGTTCTTAGCCACTCTTCATTCAATTAGTCTAGCCTATATTTTAGTGTGCGAAGGACAGTTTGGAAATTGCAAAATGAGGATTTAAAAATAGCTGGCCATAATTAAAGGGTTATTTCATGGAATTTATCAGTAAAAAATAAAAATAGTTTCTTGATTTCACTCTCCATGATTGAATCACTCAGAGCTGTAATTTACCACTTGTTAAACTTCTCATAAAAACACACACAGATACTGAATTTCTAAAGTGGTCAGTGGAGCCATATCAGTTTTAAGATGTGGTCAGTCTCAGATCCTAAAAGATGATTTAAGAAATTTCCTTCATGGACAGGCATATGTTCAAGATCATGGCTTGCATCAAAATTTATCATAATGCTAGAGTATAGGAGAGTACAGCAGGGTACAGTAGAGTGCTCAGGGCATTTGGTTTTAATTATTTCTTTTTAAGCTTAAAAGAGAGAATGTAAACATAGCCCATGAAAAAAATTTCAGCACTATATATTATAGGGCACAGCCATATGCTTAAGGATCTCCACATGGAATTGTTATGCCTCGTAAAGATATAGCTAAAAGAGTAGTTGTGGAACTCTAAATTCTATTAATTGGTATAAGTGACTATTTTTAAAGATTCAGTTACAGTTTCATTCTGTAGATGAAATTGTCTTAAGAGTTAAGTAGTTGGATCCTTAGTACCATTTGATTTTTGGTGACTGAGTACACTCTAAAATCTTGTAGTAAAGGATCAGTGGAAAGAAATTATAATTATATCCATCTTAATAAAGTAGCACAACACAATACTTATTTAATTTTGTAAAATACAGCTTCATACTATTGAATTCTAATACTCAAAACGCTTCCTAAATACATGTTATATGCCTCAGTATCTATCTTAGGTAAAGTGAAAGTAATGTACAGTTATGACAATACTGTGAGAAATAAAATTTTATATGTAAAGAAGCCACTTCAAGCACATAGTAAATTTTCAAGAATTACTGTTGCTCTGGTTGATGTCGTTGTGGTTGCTGTTGTATACTTTGTATACAACAAAGTAGCACAGAAATATTAAAGTTTATGATAAAATAGAATGATAGAAAATAAAAAGACTCAGAAAGTATAACAGTTTTTTGCTTATTTTACAGTGGTTACATGTATTCTAGTTTGGACATAATGAATATAAAGTTCATTTACATGATTCCTAATTATTTAAATCTGGACATTTTGATTTCATATTTCTATAGTTGCACTTTGATATTTTATGTATTAAATGCAGAAAATTAAACAAAAATATTTCTATAAAAATAAAACACCCCAACTCAAATCTAAATTGCAGAATTCAATAAAAGATTTGGTAAATTCAAGAAGCAACATTAATTTTTAACTGAAAGGCCTATATCTGAATGGTCCTTGATAAGTGATGTTTTACTGTTTTTCAACTTTTGACAAATTTTTATCAACATAAATTCCTTTTGCCTCTCTGCTTATATTCTATCCAAAAAATTAATAAAATGCTTCCTTAGTTAGATGTCTTGAAAATACAGTGGTTTTGCTCAAGTGAACAGTGCAGCAGGTTAGAAAGAAAAGTAGTTACCAAAGAGAACACAGAAGCTTTAATAAAAGATTCTCAAAAGTTACAGTAATTTCACAACATATAAGCAGAGATGTTGTTGAAGAAGTCTTACAGAGAAATCTAACTTTCAGAATCCTTTAAAGTATGTAGAGAATATTTTTAAGAAAAGAGAAGTTCAATGATGGATGTAGCAAAACCATTAAGAAAAAGTATTACCTTAATAACCTTAGGATTATAATTTAAATATACCAGTCTTTTTAAGTCTTCATTATAATTATGTGGTAAATATACTATTATGTATTCACTTTTAATGTTCCAGGCCAGGATGGCAACATAGGAGGCTCCTGAACTCACCTCGTCCCATGGACACACCGAATCTACAGCTACACGTGGAGCAATTCCCTCTGAAAAAAATCCAGAAACTAGCTGAATGACTCCTACATATTGGTCAATGAGAAAAAAAAAACAAAAATGAAAACAAAACCACATAAAAACAGGTTTTGGCATACCTTCAACTACTGGGAGCCATTAAGAACAAAGAAGGCAGCTTGGACAATCACTAAGGTTTGAGAGACAACAAAAGCTCAGACGAGGCTGAATCATAATGCTTATCTCCTATATGAAACCACTGCATCAAGACTAGGAGAGGTGACTGTTTTATCTAATGCTTAGAAATCAACACAGAGAGTCAAAACAATTGAAGTAACAGAGGGATATGTTCCAAACAAGAGAACAAGATAAAATTCCAGAAAAGGACCTTAATGAAGTAGAGAGAAGTTATTTGATAAAAAGTTCAAAATAATGGTTATAATGATGTTCACTGAGGTTAGCAGAACAATGCATGAACAAAGTGAAAATTTCAACAAACAGAATATATTAGAAAGTACCAAATGGAAATCACAGAGCTGAAGAATAAAATATATGAACCGCAAAATTCATAGAGGGGTTCGCTATCAGACCAGAGAACTGGAAGAAAAGATGAGTTAACTCAAAAACAGAGTAGTGGAAATCATTTAAGAAAAGGAGCAAAGAGAAAAAAGAATGAAGAAGAGTGAAAACAGATTAAGGGATTCATGAGACACTATCAAAATGAAAGGCATCCTATAGAATGGAAAAAAATTACAAATCATATTTCTCATAAGGGTTAATATAAAAATATAAATGCATTTAGAGAACTCATACAACTCAACAGCAAACAATCTGATTTAAAAATATGCAGAGAAACTAAATAGACAATTTTCCAAAAAGACATACAAATGGCCAAAAGGTACATGAAAATGTGCTCAACATCACTAATCATCAGGGAAATGCAAATCAAAACCAAAATGAGATATTACCACACATCTGTTAGAATGGTTATTATCAGAGTCCATAGTCTCTCATGGTTCATTTCCCCCTCCGATTTCCCCACCTTCATTTTTCCCTTCCTTCTCCTTTATCAAAAATATAAGAGATAACAAGTGTTGACAAAGATGTAGAGAAAAGGGAACCCTGGTACACTGCTGTGCTGGGAGGAATGTAAATTGTTTACGGCCACTATGGAAAACTGTGTGGAGCTTCTCCAAAAAATTAAAAATAAAACTACCCTACGATCCAGCAATCCCAGTTCTGGTTATCTATCCAAAGGAAAAGAAACAGGATTCAAAGAGATATCTGCACTACCATGTTCATTACAGCATTCACAATAGCCAAGATACGGAAACAACTCAAATGTTCATTGATGGATGACTAGATAAAGAAGGTGTGTGTGTGTG